CCTATTTCTTTTTTCTCTCGTTGGAATATATGACTTTGGATTTTAACATGTGTCATAGTTGTCCGTATTCTCTCTATATCTAGCCATCAGCCAACACCTGAGAATTACAGGATATGAAATCATGATGATATCAATTAAATGTAATAAATATCTTTTAATAATGCTTGCCAATAGTGGAGATGAGGATATTTTTCTTCCTTATTCCATCTCAACTTGTTCCACCCGCACTGTTGCCTCCGCAAACTCTAATAATAAGCGTTTAACGAAGCTCTCTTTGATGTCTCCGCGAGCTATATCTTTCGGCATCCAACGAAATTCATAATGCGACTAAAATTTCAAAGCTGAGCTCTATTTAGTTGAATGAAAGTGACGAACCGATAGATGAAACAACAAGTTGGAGAATAATCAGGGTACATATAAGAATACAGGGAGACTATATATTTCCACAGGGGTGAGCAACAAGTGGTTCCAAGTGCAACAAGTTATAGCTGTGGATGGAGCAAACACTCGCAAACACCATGTTGAATACGCCAATTCTCAGATTTTATGTGACGCGAATTCAGAGTTACGAGTTAGATGTGTGAGGCCAGTCGTAAATTCATATCTTTCACCGATTCTCACGTTTGTATGATTTATTAACTCTCAGTTGAAAAGTCCGATATTATTTTCTCATGAATTTTTCCACAATAGGGTGAAATAAATAATCGATATTATTGAATTGCTTGTCTTTAATTTTGGTAATATTATTATTTAAGGAGTGCTATGTACATGAAGAAGAGAAATGGTAATTCGGATAATTTATTATATGTGTAGAAGTCTAGACATCCCCGAGCGCTGACAAGAGATGTCGTGTACATTGGTGCCGACTATGACCTGTCACCTCAGAAGAATTGGAAATAGAATTGAAGATGTATAACTTAGGGTTAAGGGAGGCATAAGTGTAATTAATAGCCTTGACTGTGGTGTTGCGCTTTTCGAGCGTGCGGGTGTAACAACACATCGTGTACCGACCTTGTCTCGGCGCTTAGTAGTAGCATTGTCCGATTTGCATTGTTGTAATTTATGACATGCTACATGCACGACGTGAGGCGTGTCCTGTCGTCGTTTTCTTGCACTTACTCTATCATATGTGCATGTTCTTTGTGCCCTGTGCAGTCGTCGGCGTAATGCACCATTTTCAACAAATTATGACAATGTGTAACCGAGAGAGCGAGAGGTGACATTTCCTCCCAATAATAATCGTTGAATGATTGAATATTGCGGATGAACGTGCTGAAGGAAATGTAATACATGAGACACGTACGATGAGGAATGATACATGCGGTTGAAAGATGTGGAGAGCCACTGGTCAAGAGCGCGACCTTCTTAATAATGGTGGAATGTCGCGGTTAGTCTCGGCGGAGATTTCTCATGTATAATACTAGCGAGGGCGGGAGAAACGTCTGTCTGGCTGTCGTGCTCAGAAGCCTTGTCGGGGGTGGTCTGGCGATCATAATAATAGCGGCGTCATAGATATAACATGCATGATGTGAATGTAAACGCAAAGAGAAACCTGATTTATTCCAATCTACGTCAAAAAGGAATCTCTAATCTATTTCGTCGTCTACCGGTGAGACATTCGTAACGCGCACCACCGGTGATTAGGGTGAATTTATTTTCAGTATATATACACACCTCTCACGAAATAATTATATATTCCTTTATAATACATGCTCAAGTTCTACAAGATAGTCTCACTGCGATCAACCGTGAAATATTGTAGTGCATAACTGAAATAGCTAATGCTTTAATGTGTTTTTTTTTTCTTCATCCAAATTGGTAAATTATTATTGCATGCTTGTTGATTCCGTCTTTTAGTGTGCACGGCTCAAATGTTGGATTATTTGACCGCCAGAGAGTCACCAATCATTTATATATGTCTGAGCGTTTAAAAGGACATTTGGGGAAGAGCTAGAAATTAAGGAAGATTATTATAATGACCGAATTATAGAGATAGTTTTTTTTTTCTGCGAATCGTTTTGAGCAACAAATTAATGTTGAAGGACTGAAAGGTGGAAGTAAAAGCTCTTCAAAATTCTCTGCAATTTTCATAAATTTAAAATTTCACATCTGAAAAAATCAGCGTTAGGTTTTATTTTATTTTGTTGGAATTATCTTTCTCGTTCTTGATTCTGCCACTCGTTACTCTGCATAATGTAAATAAATTGAAAGTTACTTGTGCGGTACGTTGGATTGACGATTGATTTTTATTCGTCATTACTCCCAAATTGTACTGTGATCAATGAGTCTCTAGTAGACGCAGTCGGTATCATCTGTGAAGTTAAAAAACACTTTACGAGAACGCTAATGGCCCGGAATGGCACTCGCAACAGCTTTATCGATGTAAACAACTGCTAAACTAACCGACGAAGCCGTTGTGTGTCGTGCCAAAGTGTCGGGTTGACTGTATATTATTTTTAGAATACGCATTCTACTCATCGCATCTATACAATATATGCGTCAGAGAGAGGGAGAGGAAGAGTATATACCGCCCCCAACGACCACAATGCATATGTCCAATATTTAGTATAAGATAATAGTAATCAAGTTTAATGGATAACTCAACGTGAATGATGGTAGAATGAAATTTTCATCGAGGATTCAGGAAACATAATGACGTTGGAATGTATATTAAATAGCAGAGAAATAATTCTCAAGCTGATATCAATCGGAAAAACCATTAGACACAAGTCATTGCTGTGCTTGAAAAATTTCAGATCGACGACAGTGAATAACGAGTGTAGAAGTGTAGAATCTCTCTCTCTCTCTCTCTCTCTCTCTCTCTCTCTCTCTCTCTCTCTCTCTCTTTTTCTCTCTCCAGCCGATAAGCCAATGACCCCCACTTTACTTTTCAGTGAGAGAAAAATTTAATGAATTTGAAAATAGAAAATTGTCCTTTTTCATTCACACATTTGAATGCAAGTAATTATTGTTTTTGCCACATCGTCTGGGATAAAACAGTGGGTACTCTATGATGTTCCAGAGCGTTTCGAAATTAGACCTCAATGCCTCATAGAGCTGGGCACAGAGCTGCCAACGTGTTACAAGCCTGCTATCCATTATGAGCAGCTATAATAACAGTCTCACCGTGCTGGTATCTACCGATGTGCGGGTACATTTGCCTCATTAATGGGTCTGACTATGAATCGTCCATGATGCCACCTACCTTCTCAACGAAAATTCTCTACATTTACTGGTATGTCGTTGAATATCTGCCTTATGAATGTAACTCAAATTCGTCTCAACCAACACTTGCACAGTTTATGAAGCCCTGGCAGTAGTTCGGCGACACTTGTCTTCCTGGCTATTCATTCTCCATCATCATCACCAGCATCACCACCACCACCACTGCAGTGACTCGGATGATGATAGTAATCATACAGCGGTGCAATGAATTATTTTTTCTGGCATGAAATAGTGGAAGGTTGTGCAAAATAAATGTTGACTTTTTGAGAAATATTAAAAAATCAATCATTGGCTGTCAAACATTACCGTGAAATTGAATTTTACTTAACGAGTTAATGGTATACAAAGATACGAAATTCTCTGGCAATGGATATTTCTTCGTGGTTGTAAATTACAGAATCATGGTGTTTCAAAGAAGAGTTTATAAATGAATCTCCCACGCCCTCCACTGTCTGGATGCACAAGTCCTTTATTTTTATTTCACATCGTTTTGGTTACAAACCCCTATTCTTGCTTTCGTATTCGCAGACTTTTCTCTGCTTTGTATATTTCTATACTTTCGCTTTGCTTGCCCAGAGAATGACATTCGAAGTATTCTCTGCGCTATCCACATTCACTTATGTTTCTGGCCTTTTGATCTTTTTCCAGTCTGAGCCTCCCTGAATGTGAATCATGAGGAAGACAAAATAACATTCATTAAAATTAGATGAAAATAGAAAAATCAGCAATTGTTAATTGATTATTTGCGGGAGAATGGAATATTTATTAATGGTGAAATATATAGAATATATGATGTAGATAGACTCATATATATATATGTGTATGAGTGTCTGGAATTTTGGGAATATTCCCTAACACCTGATCCCCCGTCTGGCACACGTCAGGGACGCGGAACGCAGAAATAGTTGCTACTCGTTTAGTAACATATGCGAGGGTGCACATCCCAGCCAGCGGAGAGACTTGGGGATACATATGCGTTTTCATAAAGGTTCCGCGACCGTGCAAACGTCGCAGACGGCGTCCACACGAGCGCGTAATTTGAAGTATGAATTATGACGCTGACTGATTAATTTTGCATGCGATGCATATAGTTTAGTCACAAATGTTGGACACAGCCAGTGAGTATTTCGTCGTGGAGAACTCTAGAAATTCTCTACGAGATGATGACACAAACGGAGGTCTAGAATTTCTGGACACCGCCGAGATAGTATTGTTATAGTCAAGAAAGCCAGACATACTCATGCTAAAGAGGATCTTTGCAAAATTTATTTACAGAGTGTCGCGTGACACTATCTATATTATTCCAGTTTTCACATTAAAATCATGGACAATGCATGCATTCTATTTCGAAAAATCACTGTGCCGCTCATCTCCACGAAAATTCCGTTCCGCATTCATCGTGTCTAGCGCGGAGGCGTGTGTAAATCTTTCGCGCGGTTAAAGCCGCCTGAGGATATTACGTTGATGCACTATTTATAAATATATACGGTGACACCAGTCTAGTGTGGCGATTTGCGCGGGTGGCCCAAATGTTGCTAGGTTATCCCTCATTTCAAACATTTATCCACCTGTTTTTCATTTTATTTTATATTCTCTGTTTCTTTTTCTTCTTCTACTTCTTCTCCTTCTCTTTTTCTATCTCTCACTGTTTGCCTGTCTCTTATTTTCTCCCCTACCCACCCCCCCCCCTTCAATTAATGTAATATGCCTGAAATTTATAAAACAAAATCCATCTAGTTTGCGTAGCAACCATACAAATGACGAACGTTCTTGAATATTTCGTTTGTCAAACAAACCCATCGGCCGTATTCCCTCGGATCGTCACGTCAGTTCATCTCTAATGTGATTTTCTGCTCTTATTCACATTCAAAATCATCCGTTTTTGTATTATAAAGGAAAAATCTTTCGGATCATCAACCTATTTTGCATTTGAAGAAGAAAAAGTGATAAATTCATCGTGTTTAAGCGAGAAAAGCAACGAAAATAAAAATCACGGATCATTATTGAGGATTGGCGAGACTCGAGCAGGGAAATTAATTGGATTACGGATATTTGTGTGAAAATTAAGCATCGATATGGTCAAGACTCCGCCAAAGATGACGAAACTCGTTGTTTCAGCGATAAAAAATCTTCGAGATGTGCATGGATCAACGGCAAAGGATATTCTCAATTATGTCATGAGGGAATGTAATGCCGAACCGTCAATGGAGAGAAAGGTGAGCTAAACAATTTTCAATTTTTTGCCAAAAAATTGTGATGATGACAAAGAAAAAATAATGATTATCAGTTACGACTTTTTGACAATTTTCCTGACACTAACACTGCATTGACATTTTTTTTTTGTTTTGTTTCAGCTGAATGCGGCACTGAAACGGGGTATAGATTTTGGCATATTGAAGCGTGCCCGCGGGCACTATATGCTGAACACCGATCCAGAATTGCTTCAAGACTCGGGTCCGATGGAACGCGGGAGGAGGAGACGCCGTCGTCGCAGACGTGGACGCAGCGGAAAGAGTAAAAGCAGGCGCGGCCGCGGACGCAGGAGGAGAAGGAGGAGGCGCGGTGGCCGAAGGAAAGGTCGCGGAAGGAGCCGTGGTGGCCGTCGCGGACGTCGTGGCAGGAGTAGGAGAGGCAGACGCGGTGGACGTATGAAACGTCACGGAAATGTCGACGACATTGATATGCTCTCGAAAGAACCCCTAGAGTCTTCGCGACCGAGTGTTGAGGGCACAGGAGCCGATTTTGAGCATCCCAGTAGTAGAAGTCGTTCACGCAACAGCCGAAGCCGGAGTCACACACCGAGTCATAGCCAATCGTCATTGAGCAGCGATCGAGAGGGTGTCGATGGGAATCCTCAAGCAGAATAGACTTTTTATATTCTTTATTTTTTAGAATGATTTTTTGCTTTTACATAACCTTTATTCACACGTCACTCTCAAAGTTTTTGCTCATGTCGGGAATCGATATTTTACAATGCCAATAAAATTGATCATAGTCGTACAACAAAAATATGCTTAAAATTTGTATATATATATTTTGTCATTTTTCAAATTGATTATGTCAAAATGCACACAAAAAAAATGACATCTTCACAAGACTGGAGCCCCTGGAGTTAAAAACTAGTTAACAGCGCAGTGACAACCTTCTGAAAATATAATTTTGGGCATTTTCATAAGCTCTTCTCGTCAAGTTTATAAATTACGTTTTTATTTTTCGTTTTCTCCCTCCTTTCCTTTTTCTCAATTTCACGGATTTCCTTGCAAAGCAGCTGATTAAATCTTGGGTAATTATTTTGTCTGTCGGTGTCAAGTGGTGGATCGTCAGCAAACGTCTAAAATGGGTGATATCATTAAGCCAGATTTACGTGGTGTGTAAACACTAGGTAGTGGGTTGACCCGAGCCAATTTGACAAAGACCTGAGAAGTGTAGATGAATCAGCGGCTCAAGGGAGAGGTCAGGTAATGTATAAAAGGAGGATAAAATTTAGAATAAAAAAGGCCAAAAATAGAACGTGTGAAAATCCTTATCTGAAGAGTTTTTATTTAATTAGCCTCACAGAAGGCCAATGCGTCAAGTCAAGGTAAAAAATTCAGGTAAAGTGCAAAAAATATTTTGCTCCTTAATAACTTGGGATTATAAAATGCCAAGAGGGAAAAGTAAATAAATTAATGATATTTGACTGAAGGATCAATGGAAAAATAGAAATAAAAAATAGCACTTGATCACTTCCGTTGGTATATACGATCGACAATAAATGATTCAAGTTATGATGCATTTGGACATGAGGAACATTTAATGAGGATTATTATCGGCAAGATAAGCGTATGGCCAGTGGAGGTAAAGTGTTGGTGTATGCATGTGCCGGTATAAAAACGTGCTGTACCAATCTAGGACCATAAAACTGTTCAACAGCACACCGTATAGAGGGGAAGAGTAGGATAATAACGTGCGAACGCGCTATCCATCAGCCGGGACAAAACAGTTAAGCGTCTGTCCTGTGGAAGACGAGAGCAGTAATGAACACCCGTTGTTGCTTGCTTGCTGCTATGAGGAATCCTCCTGGTATCGTTGACCACCGTCGTTGCACGTTGTCCTCTTCCTGCCGACTTTACAGTCAATTTCCACTGCATGAGTTTGCAAAATTTTTGTTTCTGCGAAATATTGCACAATGGGCATTTCCTCGTGGGAGGGCTCAAATTAACGTTTTTCTCTCTTTTGATGAATTGGTAAAAATTGAATATGTATGAACATTGAACATATAAAAGCTACAAAATGACAACGCGCGGCGCTGTTGTCATTTCTGTTACTGATCCGGTAGTAGGCACAAACAAATTATACCGACCATTAATTGCTGCAAATCACGGAGCTAAGACAAACCGCGGGTTCACTCTCCGTACATGAAATATAATTTTATTATAAATATTTACATTGATTATATTTATGTGCCAATGAATTTTCAAACTTACCTATGATGGAGCAACTATTTTAATTATGAATCCCTGCGTATTCAATGCAACAGTGACTCTCTAATAATTCATCGGCGGAGACCACGTGGAATGCATTTATTGTTTGTCCTCTGTACTTGGGTTGTTTAGAGTGTTCAGAGTCACCTGTAATGCGGCCTTCACAAAAAGTAAACACAGTTTCTAGAAAACAGTGTCCGCGACTGTTTTTTTACTATTATTTCGTTCTAATATTACGAAAATGTTCTAGGATTGTGGAAAGTACATAGCATGTACAAGGTTGAGTAAGTTGTGGCTTGCCAGGTCGAAGGTTACACTAGGCCATTCGCGCGCGCACATGAGAGAGTTCTCGCACGTGGGGTGTACCTAAGCCTGATGACCATCGTCCACCTGACTCAACAAGATTTATCGCTACTACAATACCCCGTTGAAACTCACTTCGGCCATGTCTAATCGCGTCTCTTTTAATTTTCTTCTTCTTTCTTCACTATTTATTTATTTATTTTTCATTCCGCATTCTTCGTCACTTTCTCTCTCTCTCTCTCTACAGTTTTCATTTCACTTTATACTTTTGAAGAAAAGCTTTGGATGAAATAACTCGAACAAGATGTTGATAAAAAATTTGTAAATTATTCTATACCGCCATGATTGATGAATGTCGGAAAATTAGGATTTACAGATTAATTAATGTTCCTTGGATAAATTACCGTACTTTAATAATTGTGGCGCCAAGATATGCACCTGGAGAATGATTTATCTGATGGAATATTTGGGTGTTATATTACTCGTTATGATTTTTTTGTCGCAGCTTTATGACTAGGGAGGCGTAAATTCGTTAAATATGAAAATGGAGACAGACGATTTGCGACAGTGGAGACAGCAGCACGCATTATTTAGAACAGCCAACGCTTGGATTTATCTTTGGGTGAAGTGTGGGGGCTAGGCTAGCACTAAGAGTTATAATATCATCCTGGAAGCATTATATGAGAGGCAGTGAGATATCATTCTGTTGCAATGAATCACTTATCATAAGCACGCATGAAGTGAATAAATATTTATAGTGAATGGTAAGAGCAAACTGTAGTGATATTTATTTGTCATGTATAGACATTTAAGAATTAAGAAACCAACATCATTTAATCGCCAACATCCCCTATTAATGCCCTGGAATAATATCTAATTATGATCTGTCTATAGATGCTCTGTGGTTCGTCGAGAGGTGAAATAGATATTTCCTGCGATAAACCCTAGAGTAAATTGCTGAGATAAATACATTCAACATTACCACATGTAAATAGGAAAAAAATAAAAATTGTCGTTATAAGTACACTCCTTTCTTCACTGGTTTATATGGTCCTTTTTTACATATTGCAGCGGCGGCGCAACTGTAATATAATAGTCAGGCTCTTCCTGATGTCGTGGTGTCGCCAGGGCAATTCCAGCAATAACACCATGTCTGACATTTGTCATTGTGTACCCAGTGAATGGAGACACAGTAGCAGTAAAACATGGATAACAATGAAAAGCAATGAAATTCGTTTTCCAATGAGCAATAGAATGATCATAAAATGGAAATAAAATTGTCTCTTATAGTTTCGTCAAGGGGGAAAGACTGAGGAAGATACGCAGGTGGAGTTTTGCGATGGGATCCAGGAATCCAAGAGAGTGACTCGAATATCACGCGTATACACCCCCCCTTTTAAAGCTGTTCGGTGAGATCCTACCGTATACGTTGGTGCATATTTCTATAATTATTGCCGGTGTCCCTTTGATCTTAGTTAACTAAATGGCCAACAGACTGCGCAAACCGTCTGCCAGTGGTACACACGCGACGGAGATGCGTTTCCTCTTTGAATATTCTTTTCTTCCCCTTCGTTAATTCACAATCTACTTCTTTAACGCAAAAGAGATCTCTCTCATATCATTCCAATGCATTGACTTGGAGCCTCTCAATCGATAACGCAGAAATACCACACGCTTTTGCACTCTCTCCCAGGCCTCCTCCTCCTCTTTCTCAGTTAATTGATATTTTGATTTGTTATTGGAGGGGATATCGCCTTTTAAAACACCTGTGAATAAAGGAGGAAAAAATAATCAGGATTCTTGTCTTTTTCTTTTTGCACACCCATTCGAATTTTAAAAATATTGTATTCAATACTCGGTAAAATAGTAGACGAAATTGAAACTAATTTCCAGTGAATTGTGAAAAACGAAAGAACGTACAGATTCTCTTGAAATCTGTAGAATAGAATTCTTGAGACATATGTTATATGTGCCGAGGCTGACCTAACAAAGTTCAAGGATCCTTTTCCTGTTAACTCTCTTTTATCATCGCTTATCCTCGCACGTCTATGACTCGCTCAGCTGTAGAGCTAATGGCTGCTCGTTTATCACTGTGCACATGTCTACACACAAAATATAAATGCCTTTTCTATTAATTCCTTCCGTTCGCATATTTCCGTTTTTGTGTATATGTGGATATTATACGCTTCAACCACCTCTATTTCTTTTCAGTTTACCTCCTCTCTATATACTTAATAAACTGAAAAGAAGTTTGTGCCAAGTAATGAACAGATATCACACAGAACAGGTACATGCCAGGTATGAGGGAGGGGATCGTAACTCGGATTTTACAACCGATATGATGTTGAGATGCCGCTTCGTTTTTGGTATTTTTTTGTAGGCGTGGGCGTGGGTTATAGAAATGCCGCCGACTGATTTATTTTCTTAATTTCCACTTAACAGGGGCTCCAGCACAGATACCAAACCTGTATCCAAATTTCCCAGCATCGTTCTTCATTCTTTGTCTCTCTTTCTCTCTCAATTCTAACTCCATTTCAACGATACGAGATTGTATAGGCATGCTAACACGCCACCCTGTTTATAGTTTTATGACATTTCTCAAACGGGAGGGCCTGTTGACGGTAATGGGACACTGTCGAACCGGGATTACGAACGTGGTTTGAAAACCTATCTATACTCAAACATTCGAAGCCCTTTTGAGCGTTAATGAAACGCATCTATTACCTAAATTCGAGTTTTATCGTATGAACATAATTGAAGGGCCTGTGTTTATTAATAATCTCATTATTTTTTATGTTCAACCATAGTCCCTAATTCTTTGATTTCAGGAGTAGTTGAAGAGAGAGGGAGAGAGTTGATCAATAAAACACATAGCGTATGAGTTATCTCGAGATAATGAAATAAAATTTGAAATAATTAAAACAACGTTACGTGGCATGAGTGGCCTCTCGACCTCAAGCTCAACGGTTTTACTTAATTCATATGTTCCCTATACGCGTGAGCATAATATATTTACAGGCAATTTTCGCCGGGTCGATGTTGAGTTGATTGCAATCGTCCATTTGCCATCCCAATATGTATATACATATATGTATGTATAATACTTGCACGCGCACTTTCCTCCTCACAACCGTATCGTCTACATTTGACTCTCTTCAACCTCTTTGCCGCATCCCCCGTATAGTGTTTAACGTGTTCGCGGTTCTA